TTTTTTTGGTCGAAGATTATTTAGTAATTCAATAACTTTATTTCAGATTTCAGGTAATCGATTTTCTTTTATTACTGTGAAAGCATTTGTATCCATAAAGTATTGTTGAACTTTTTTTTCTATTTCAATAGCCGAACCAATATAAAAATTATTACTTTTATCTGTGACACGAATAATAAGTTTGAATTGTTTAATTTTATTTCGAATCGATGCAGTGGTTTGTGATTGTTCTCGAGCTTCAATATGATCTTTGTATGGTACGGGAGTAAAATAACAACTGTTTAAATAATTAAAAAGTTGATTTGCATATTCTTCAAAAATTGCATGCGTTCTTGGTACATGATGATATTCTGTAAGATTATTTTGGACTTTAGAAAGTATGTCTTTATGTTCATTTTTAATTTCGATTTTTTGTTGTTTTCGAGGACGAATTGCACTTTGATTTGTTCGTATATATGATGGACCTAAATAAATTAAATTTCAAGTTTTTCTTTCAAAAATGAAATTGCCATTTACTAAGTGAAAGATATTGCCATTCACGTTTATTAAATGGATTTGATATTAAATCGATATGTTACATATCGGCTAATATCATTTAATAGAGATGTACCTTGAAGACTTGTATTATTTAATAATATCGATTCTAATTGATGATTGTATTCAGAGACCCGCGGTATGCGGTTTCAATACCGTACCGTACCGTACCGTACCGTCTCGGGACGAGACGGTATTGAAAAAAAAGAAGTAGGGCGGGACGAGACGGTACGGTATCAATAAGCCGCGGTACGGGACGGTATGCGGTATCAGATAGCCATACCGCTCTCCCGTGTCGACATAAGAAGTCTTTTAATAATGATTTTCAGTGACATCTATCGTATATTTTTTTTATTCGTGTGAAGTATCAAAAAGAATTCAATAAATTATTGATCTCTTGTTCCCTTCTTTTTGAATTAATTTTATTTAATATAAAGTAAACTGTGGTGGAAATGGATTATAGTCAATCTAATCAACGTACTTGTGAACCGTCATCATCGATATCATCATCATCCACATCAACATCATCATCGATATCATCATCATTCACGTCAACATCATCATCGATATCATCATCATGCACATTAACATCATCCACATCATCGTCATTAGGTGGTTCTTGTATTTCTTCTTCCACAGCATCGTCAAACACAAGTTATACTCGTGAAAATATTCAACACCATTTAAAATATAATAAAGCTGAATATGTTATCCTTAACAATTCAAATAATAAAAATTCATCTGTTTGCTGGCGTTCATTTGGTTTTCCAGCAAAACTCGATATCAATGGTGTTCCTCAAAAAATTAATAATTTTGTTTCATGCAAAAATTGTTTTACTACTTATTCATATATTTCAAATAGCACCACGTTTCTCATGAAACATAATTGTTTATCTTCTGATCGAAAAACAAATTCTACTTTGTCTTCATCTTGTAATACATCGTCTTCTCAAACTTTGATTACTACGTATGGACAACCAAAAACTGTTCGATTACCTGATTCACATTCGAAAGAAATGAAAGATCTATTAGTACGATGGATATGTAAAGATGTGCGACCATTTGCTATTGTCGATGATGATGGATTTCGTAAAATTGCACAACGTTGTGTTTCCATTGGTAATTTGATATTTTATTGAAAAAATTCTTTTTTTTTTGTAAAACAGCTTTTAAATATTTTGAATATTGAAGTTTCTATGTTATTTATCATTAATGATGGACCATAGGAAAAATATTTAGTTAATATTAGTGATAACTTCTATATTAAACAATTGATAAACAATGAATCTCATAGAAATAAAATATGGATATTTTTTTGTCTATTCAGGTGCTCAGTATGGAAATATTGATATTAATCAAATTCTTCGTTCATCGAGTACAATTTCGTCACATATTCATGAAATAGCTGATAATGAACGTGCCCGACTGAAGGATCTATTAGCTTTAGCTACTAAAAATGGTTCTCTATGTTTATGTCCTGATCTATGGACCGATAATAACCGACAATGTTCTTACTTAGGTATAACTGCTTCCTTTGTTGATGATGAATATCAACTTCATAATATTGATTTATGTTGTCATCCGTTTCCAAATGTAAAGAAAACGGCTGAAAATATCATCATAGTGAGTATTCGAAATATTATTGTGAAAAGTTTTTAATTTTCTTAATATAGGAATTGGAAAAGGCCTTGAGTCGATTCGAAATCATTGATCTTCATGAAATAACATTTGTTTCGGACAGGGGTGCTAACTTCCTCAAAGCATTAAAACGTTTTCAAGCTTATTCATGTGCTGCTCATCGGTTAAATAACATCGTGAAATGTTGTTTTTTCGTTAATGAGAAAAATAAAAAACAAGATGATCTTGAAGAAAATGTTTTTAATAATAACGATGAAGTTGAAGAAGATATTGAAGCTTTAATTGATGTGACCACATTGGGTGATATACCAAAAAAAGCTTTACAAGTTCTTGAAAATATTATTGAATGTAAAAAGCTTGTGAAATATGTAAAGAAAGTAAGTTTTGATCTATATGTGTCATTGTTGAATCCGAAATGATTTTGACAAAAATTTAAATTTATCAGAAATTGAAAAAAATTAAATGTTTATAAATAGGGTCGAAGCTGGTATATTGCTAAGTCTAGAAATTGGAAGCTGTCTAAATGTATACTATAAAATCGTGACAGTAGTGCTTTTAAATTTAGTAAAATTATATTCCACCACAAGGATGTTATGTACTCATATTGACACTTAAAATGATAAAGATAATTTAATCACTTTGGTTTACCAATCCGTTCAAAATTCGTAAACTGGCCAGATGCTTATACAATATACTCGAATTTATTTATCCGATATTCGTTTATAATCGAGTTACATTTATAAATCTAGTAGATATTTATAAGTCAGATAGATATTTATAAATCGGTCATAAATTTATAAATGGAACGGATTCATAAATCAAATACAGATTTATAAATCCCAAAATATTTATAAATATTTTAAATTCTCGGTTAAAAAATTTATGATTTATAAATCGCCTACTTTCGGACTTAACAGTGATATGTGCTCATAAACGAATAGTAATTAGGTAGCAAATTCAGCATACATAAAATCTGGTCTATATAATATACTCATTGAAGGAGTTTCAAGAAGTGAAAATTCTAGACAATAATAAAACGCTGAAGGATATTAATCTATGAAAGAGGCTTTAATTGAAACAGTTGATTTTTCAGAAAAGTATTACATGTTTCGTTTTAGGCCGGACTGAATCCGGAAATTAAAGAGCTGGGAGGTGTCAGTCTGAAGCAGTCTATTAATGTGCGGTGGCTTTCGTTTATCAATCTACTTGAATCCATAGATCGATCATTTTTTTGTATAAGAAAAGTTCTAGCAAACAAGAAAAAAAATTTTGCAATTGAACGTGAAATTGTTCAAGGCTTGATTCGACTTTTATTACCATTCAAAGAACTACTTACCAAACTTCAAACTTCAAAAACACCTTCTCTTCATCTTGTTCTCATTGGTATTGGTAGTCTACGAACAACTCTTTCATCATTTGACATGCTTTTGGAATATGAAAAGAAAAACAAAACCTATTTTCAAGAAGAAAATTTAAGTTCATTAGATGTCGATGCTTCAAATTCAATTCAAGAAGATGAAGGTAATTTGATATTTATATTTTTCATTAAACTGATCTATAATTAGGAAGAATTTAGAGCAGAGAATAACTTTTTTCGTACATAAGATATTTTATAGCGAAATAAAATGACATTAATTTTTTTTTCATATAGGTCTACGATTTTTTCGTCTTCGTTTATCACATCTAATTGAAGAAATGTTTTCATTTGAACCAATTCATTATGCTTCAACTATGCTCCATCCGAAATATCGACATTTGAAGAAAACTAGTAGTAATGATAAAAATATGTGTAAATATTTTATTCGTCAAATGATGAAACAAGTCATTAATCGAGAAAAATCAAGCTCGACATTTTTATTAAATCCATCAAACAATCATGATGGAGAACCATGTCCGAAAAAACGAAAACATTTTGGTGAAGAGTACGAAACTGGTAATGTTAGTGATGAGTATGATATAGACGATGACGAATTAGAAAGATATCTTTCTAAACGTTTGGATTTAACAAATTTATCTGATAATCCACTTGATTTTTGGAAAAACCACAAAGTTGAATTTCCGGTCTTAGCAAAAGTTGCTTGTCAAGTATTTAGTGTACCAGCAACATCTGCATGTGTTGAACGATCGTTTAGTACTGCTGGAAATATTGCTACAAAACGTCGAACCAACATCAAACCTACTCAACTAAATAATGTTCTTTTTTTACGATCTTCTTATTCATTTAAATGATGATAAATGGCTATGTATATTTAAATATTGTTTATTTATATATGAAATTGTTTTTATTGATTTGCTCATATTTGTATTTGTTGTTAACATTCTCCGAAAATGTCATTTATATATGTGAAATAAAATAAATCATAGTCGGTTTGAAAATAAGCTAGAAAAATTGTTCTGGCGGTACGGTATTTCGCGAGACGGTATACTATGAACTTCATGCGGTAACGGTACGGTACAGTATTGAAAAAAAATTAAGCGATACGGTACGGTAGAGTACTGACTAAAGCGGTACACGGTACGAGACGGTATCAAATTTTTGCAATACCGCCGGTCTCTGATTGTATTGTTGTAATTTAGTTTCATATACAGATAACGAAATATGTAACCATTGACGTTTTGCATCTTGTATCATTTTATAACGTTTATTATTCAATTCATTAGTTTTATGTTCATTATTTAAGGGTATATATGTAATTGGTGCAACTATCTTTTCTAGTTGATCAAGTTCAGATGGTAAAAACTTATAAAGAATTCGCATTTCTAACTGAAGAAGTTCTTCCAAAACTTGTGTTTGTTTCTGCCGTATACTAACTAACTGATGAATGAATTGGTCCTAAGAAAAGAAATTTAATTCTTTGTTAAAATTAAGATTCATTCTTACTGGATTTAAATTAGGATAGGAAGTCATAATCGTTTCATATAATTTATTTGCTAGAATCTCATCTTGAAGTTTGGCCAATTGATTAGAGTTTTTTGTTACTAAATATTGTCGCTGATGATTGACATATTCTTTTAGACAAATATCAACTTGATTGATATAGGTATCATTGAATATGAACTAAGTTGAGTTGCAAGTTCTGTTTCATATTGATTAATTTGTTCGTTTAGTTGTTTTATATAATTCGTAAGATATTGAAACATAGTTCATAATCATCTGTTTTTGATAACATTCGAACTTCTTCCTATGATGATAATAATAAATAACCTGATAAAAACAATATTTAATATACAAAAAACAAAATTACCGGCCAATGATGCTCTGTATGACCAATCTCTAAAAATGATTTACATAATTGTAAATGAACTTTCAAACAATATTTTTGATCTAATATAGTTAATCGTGTGTAAATATATTGTTTATGTTTATCATTTAATGAATAATTTAATCTTTTACCTGATGTTTGAAAAAGTATCCAAGATGATCGTTGTAAGTACATTGGTCGTCTATAATGAGTAAGAAATTGTACAGAAACATCTTGAGGGTGTGGGTGTTTATATTATAAGATAATTTCAAGCTACTTACAACGCGTTTCGTCCTTGCTTAAGGGACTTGTCAGGTAAATTTGGAATTAATATAACCATCTTGAGAGTGTGGGTAATACAGTTCTCTACACCCACACCCACACCCTGGTTATGCTTGCAGCATTGTTGCAAGGAGTAGCTGTCACTGCTCTAGACGATAAGATCAGAATTTATCGTGACAATGATGTGCTGGACTTATGTTTTCCTCGCGAACAATTGTTGCAGAAGTTTATAGATGTTTTTACAAATCAGACAATGGAATTACAGGAGAACTATCCAGCGTTGTGTATGACTGGAAAGAAATAATAATGGAGCCAATAATGAGCTCAAATATCCTCCTGGTGTAAAATAAACAGAACACCTTGTTTTCCCTATGATTCCTCTAAATCATTGTTATTTGATTTCATGTTCATATCAGAGAGAGATATTTGATGACTTAACATACTCTGAAAATTTCAGCCATATAGGTTGAGCATTGATTGAGAAACCTAAGAATATGTTTCATGCACTCTTATAGTAGTGAAACGAAAATTGGTTGTTTTCTTGTTCGAGGGCGAGGGTGTGGGTGAGCGTGGTTGTGACTGTGAGTATAATCTTCTCGCACCCACACCCCACATCTACACCCACTCACATATCAGGCATTATTCATTATCTTTTCATAAATCTTTCGCGAGCACATTTAATGTAGGCATGTAAAAATATTTGCATGTAGTGATGTTGCTTGTCTTACACACCCACCCCCGACTTTTCTCCCATCATCGCAAGGAGAGTTTCTTTGGACGAGAGAAACTTACATACTCGCTCGTCTCTGAAGAACAGCAACGAACGCGTTCTTTCACTTCGTCCAAAACTTCAAATTTCTTCACCACGTGCATCGAAATAACTTTTTTGTTTCGTTCTACTG